GTAAAAATGTTATAAAATTAACATTTAATATTACCTATTTATTTTACATTTTACATCTTTTTGTTCTCATCATTTATAAATAATTATATATAAGGGAAAAATTTATTGGGAAAATATAAATAAAAAAATACCTAAGGTAAGGTTTTTAAAGTTTATCAATTTAAATCTTAATTTTTTGATTTGTTTTCAATCTAAACTATTTGTCTATTTTTGTTAAGTAAAATCGATGAAAAAATATATATTTTGGCTATTAAATTAAATATAAGTGCACATAAAATATTGAAAATATCATTTTTCATTGAGTATAATGACTAAAATATTATTTTTCGACAGTTTTTCTTAACAAAAATAAGCAGATAGTTTATATTAAAAACAAATTAAAAGATTAAGATTTAAATTAATAAAATAAAAAATTTGGGGTTCTTATAAGAGTCAAACCCTAGGATTTATTTATTTATTTTTAATTTTTTCAAATCTATTTTACTCCCTTGTGATTTAAAGCTATAGTGTAGTTTAGCACCTATGGGTCAAATATAGTCAAAAAAACCCTTATATGGACACGAGAACTTCTTTTCCCAATCCCTCTATTTTTCTATTCAAAACATTTATCATCATTAGATTAGGCCTCAAGATTCATATATAATTTAATAATTTTCAGTATTTTAAGACAACAAGAGATATTGAAACAGATAAAATTTGGCCTACTTGTTTCCTGATTAAGAATCCAAGACCTGTAATTAATGATCTACCATTACACATGTTCAGGTTTACCATAAATCAAATCTATTCAATTACATTAAAACAATTCAAAATTAACTAATCTTACATTCTCAATGAATACTTCAATTGCAGCGGTAGTTGGACCAAGATTTGTAGCAATAAACATAACCATTCGAAACACAGCAGGAGCCATAAAGCAGCAAGCAGTGGCACTTCGAAATGATGCTGATTTGTCCACCTTCTACAAGTGTAGCTTTGAAGGCTACCAAGACACCTTGTACACTCATTCACTTAGGCAATTCTATAGGGAATGTGATATCTATGGCACAGTAGACTTCATATTTGGAAATGCAGCTGTGGTTTTCCAAAACTGCAATGTGTATCCTCGACTTCCCATACTAGGCCAATTTAACACAATCACCGCACAAGGAAGGACAGATATAAACCAGAATACCGGTACTTCAATACAGAATTGTACCATTACAGCTGCCCCTGACTTGGCAGCGAACAATGGCACTACACAAACATACTTGGGCAGGCCGTGGAAACTATACTCGAGAACTGTTTATATGCAATCCTTCTTGGATAGCTTGATTAATCCAGCTGGTTGGGCTATGTGGTCCGGAACTTTTGCACTAGATACGTTGTATTATGCAGAATACAATAATAGAGGACCAGGATCAAGTACTGCCAACAGGGTTACTTGGCCTGGTTACCATGTGATAAATGTGACAAATGCGGTTAACTTCACTGTCTCCAACTTCATATCTGGAAATAGCTGGTTGCCTACAACTGGAGTCCCTTACACTGGTGGTTTAATGTGAGCATAACAACTTTAAATGTCTTCTTTCTGTTAATTTGTATTTACAATTTGATGTTGTATGTCTATGTTTTTTTAAAATTTACAATGAAATTGTCTCTATTATTCAATATTTGGACTAGGAATTCCAAAAGTATTGTTGGGGTTGACACATGCAAGAATCACACCAACAATCCCAAAAAAAATTAAAAAAAAATTAAAAAAATGAAACTATTGTGTCGCTTTCCAAGTATGAGGGTATTTTAGGAAAATAAAAAATATGAGAATAAGGGTATTTCGATACATTGGACAATCTGTAAAATAAACTCAAAAGTGGACTTTGAAAAGGCTTCACCTTAACCCAACACAAGGCCCAATCCTAGCCAGGATGAATGTAGGCCTTGATCATTGCAACTTATTTAGCTGCGAGGTGTATAGTGATGATGTGTTGGATTCAAGTATATGTTCCTAAGAATCAACCAACTTAACTGTCAACATTGCTAAAAATAACATCACCATGCCTTTCAACATTTAATTTTCTCCTTCTATTATTCCTCAATTCATGCAATTTTCTTGGGACAAAAAAAAAATCTGATTATCGCAAAAGAAATCAAGAAAGAGGAATTGAGTTAGTTTTTTTTCTTCTTATAATCTCATCATGGGAAGGAAAATTCTCATGGGCGAGAATCCATCACTCCATCCGATCATATCATTATCGCTATTCATTGCAAGCATGGTTTCCATATTTGCTCTTGTTTCATTTTTATGTATAACACGAAAAAAAAATTGCCTCATCTATCATTTTCCCAAAGAAAATCAATAGACAATCCCGATATAGTTAGTCAACCACCAAATGAGGTGATAATGACAAAGACACCATAAATGATAATAGAACTAGCATCTACAACAATAGTAGAATTAGAGGGTGCGAAAAACGTGGTATAACCACGCAACGAAGAACCACAGTTGCCACTCACCACCAAGTATGGCCCATTTGAGAGGGACAATTTCTTATCATAATAGGACAGACTCATCTGCATCACAAGGAAAAGTGTCATTGAATATGAGCATGAGGGCCCAAGGAAGTGGTGGGATGTCATCAAGAGAACTATCCCAAAGGGTGGACCAAACTGACAAAAGACAAGACAAGAATTTAATGCACGAAGATTCGATTTGGAAAAAGACAATTATTCTAGAAGAAAAGTGCAGAGTCCTAGACAAGAATGACATGTGTGTGAGTGATTTTCTGATCACACTGCCCATTTAGTAATCAGCTAGAGAGCACTGGCAGAATAGATGGCTTCAGTAAACCTGTAACAGAAAGAGAAGGTTCCGGCGGTGGTTCTTCCACCCGAGGGCACTCCGACGATCAAGTCAGTATATTTCTCAAAGATAATCAAGTGCTAAATTCACTGCTCAAAGCATAAATTGCGTACCTTAGACCCACAGGGGTGCCTCTCTTTTATAGTTACCTCAATCCTAATCC